TAATAGTATATATAATAATATATATATATATATATATATATATATATATATATATATATATATATATTATTTAGTAAACAAAAATGTTCAGAAGATGTTCCCTCCAAGCGATCGATAACCTCTTGATTGACACTGCCTCTACACCACTCGATTTCCTGGAGACCTGCGAGCATGTGATGGACATATGCAAGAAAGCTTTTGCGTGGAGTCTGTGCAAAGAAGCTGTCTCTCCACAAGTAGTAGTAGACAATATAGCCACTGCCTACCTTCTTGTTTATCATCTTGTTTCTCACCCATGCTCAAACATACCCGATGCTACTCCAAAGTCTGGTCAGGTTATGGAGAGCCAACAATTATATCTCGTGCATGAGAAAATGAAAACTATAATCGAACAGCATCTTGTAGACAAGGTTTTACCGAAGTTTCACTCCTGCTTGGCTTCACATGACTTAATCATTGAATTATATGTTGAGCAGTGGAAGTTTTTCCTGGTTTGTGTCGCAAACCTAAAGGCAATATTTTCATATCTTCTCCAAGTTTATAACTCTATAGAACACCCAGATAATACACTTAAAAATACAGAGGATACTGCATTGCTGAAATGGTCTGATATTATTCTTACTGAAGAAATTCAACAATATCTTGCCCACGAATTGTTGGACTTAGCTGCCGAGAACAGGCAGAATGAGAACGTTCTGGAGTACAAAGAGAGTTCCTTTTCTGTTGAATCGCACAATCATTTGTATTCTGAGATGAATGAATTAGCGAGTCAGACAACAGCCGTCAATCCTGATCAGTGTAATAAAGCCTCCTATGTGAGCGAAGTAAGAGATGCGTTAGTAATACTACCAAACCTAGAATTCTATAGGACAATTATTGAGGACAATTACATTTGTGAAATGTGTCACTACTACACCACTGAATCTGCACGATTGGAGCGCCTAGGAATTTATGAGTATTCGATTAGAGGCTTAAAATTGATTGAGAAGGAAACAGAACAGGCTGGCCAATATCTTTTGTCGAAGCGTGTCGCTCTTGACAGACTTGTGGATGTTTTCGTGGACCAGCATGAACTTTTCTTTGAAGCCTCGCCTTTAGGGAAATGGCTTGGAGAAAATTATGAAAGCAATCAAGATAAGATCCTGTCCGTATACAAGTTACTTTCTCTGAGTGAGAACGTCGGGATTCCTTTCATTGAGTCTCTCTTTACGAAGACCGTCACAAACTTGATAGCATCTGAAATCGAAAGGGTGATAATGGCAACTGGAGGGGATACATATGGCCGAATTATTCACTCTTTTCTTGGCATAGTAAAGCAGCTGAAAAGCCTCGTTGCAGATGTATTTTTTAGTAACGTAGGAATGATTGAGGCAATGGAAACGGGTATAAGACAGAGCATTTTACAATGTAGTGAATCGACGAATTTCAAATCATTGGCTAAGCGCCTTGCATCGCTTTCCTCAGACGCACTTATTAGATCTAAAGACGAAGCTGACGCTACTCTAACGATAGAAGACATTGTCTGTGTCTACTACTTCTTACCCGATGTTGAGCCATCAGTGAAGGAAACTTTTCTGATCGAATACCAAAATCGTCTTGCTCGAAGATTATTATTTGAAGAGTATGATTTATCTCGTGAGAAGAGAGTTCTTAGTTTATTGGCCCAAGTTCAGCAAAGCCAAACATTATTTTTCTGCAGAAGTATGATTAAAGACATTGACACTGAAGTTGCTCGTCTGAAAAGCTTTGTAAAGGATGGTATCGCTGTCTCGCCAACTATGATTTCTGGAGGGATGTGGCCACCTTTGCCTACAATAGACCCAAGGCTACCAGAGCCTTTAGACAAAATAGTGCAACAAAGTCACCAGGAAGCCGTGCAAAAGCACTTTAGGTGCCAGGTTAAATTATCAGCAGGATTTTCTTCCGGGATATTAGTTGTGAATTTCCCCAAGAAGCCCTCATTTCGTTTGCGTGTGTCTTTGCTGCAACTACGTATAACATTGTGTTTTAACACAAAGGCTGAGTGGAGATTGAGTGATCTATGTGAAAGAATCGGCTGTTCAGAAACCGAGTGTTGTTCTAGTTTAGAGCCGTTAATTAAAAGGACAATTTTGCAAAGTGTCTATCCCTTGGAGGCAATTTCTGTTATACGAGTTGGAACTTTTAGAAAAATCAACTTTTCAAATGATTTGAATTTGATACCTGACACTTCTCGCGAACCACTTATTTTGCTCACTAATTCCAATACAAATGGCACTACAGACACTAAGCCCCAGCTTAGTTCGTATGCCATCGAGAGCCGGATTGTTCAGTTGCTGAAAAGTAAAGGTCCGCAGCCTCTAGATCAGCTTCTTCAGCATTTGAATGATATTTTCCATCCATTGCAGGTGAGCGTATTAGAATTAAAAAAGCAGTTGGAAGGTTTACTTTCTCGCAGGTTTATTGAACGTGATGAACACAAATGCTTCAAACTTATTCCCTGATGTCCGAAGTAAATGCTATTTTTTTTTGAGGACAGACATTTTTACAGATCATGTAAAAATCGTGGATTTTTTTAATCTTGCGCTTGAAGAGGTTATCAAAACGAATGCCGTGGGAATCGTACTCTTTGATGGTCAGTTGATTTGCTTAGTGTATGCTTCCTTCAATTTATTTCCTTTAAATTCATTCAAAGCGAGTACGGCAAGGCTATCCGAGGGGATAGTGGTTGTTTGCTTTAACATTATACTAAACAATTATTTCCAAATCAAGGCCCCTTCCGACAAAAACGAATAATTATACTTGCTAAGCTATTCCGTGAAGCAATGAACGAAAGTTTATAAGTATAAATGAGAATCTCCCGAATTTGAATATGAATGAGGAATTCAGGATCGTGCTCGTTATGCTCAAAATTTCAAGATATCCTAAAGGGGCTGCTTTTATCTGACATAGGATATATATGGTAGGCACACGGTCGGTCGAAGCGCATGTTCTACCCTGTAAAAAGCTTTTGGTCAAGTGAAAATGATTACATAGGTATAATCATCTAATACAATTTAGTATACTGTTTATCAGAGCAACATTGACCCGAGAAATGGCAATCTTACTACATATATTCATCGACTCATTCAACAAATACACTAGTTCACCTTTCTATTTTCACCTAGAGCAATTTCATGCTTTCCGTGTGCCCCGATTCCGAAAGGATCCCACCCATTCATCCTTGAATACGTGCAGCCTGCTTCAAATTTCATATTATTTTTCTTTTTTGTGTATACTGATAAGAGTTAAATACGAATATTCTAAATTTTGTTCTGATTTATAATTGGTACAATAATTCATTTACATATTAAGTACCTGAAAATTGGTTTTTAATGGGAAGTGGTTAGTAAGCAACAGGAGCAACTTGATGTCTGTTTTAACAGTCACAATGTTCAGCTACTTGTCAAAGTTGTTTACTTTCACTATCATGCGATGGTCCTTGCATTATCATTTACCCCCAAAAATATCGTGAGGATATCAAAAATGTTATGAAAAGTGAAACTGATCAAAGGCAGGCAAAGTGATTTTATCAGTCGTTACACAATAGGTCATTCACGAGTCTGCTTTAGTGCAAAAAGAATCTTTTATCCCGGATAATATGAAATTGATGTGATATTTTACTGTCTAGCGATAATAACAAGGGTGTGTTATGCTAGCTAAATTAGTTTTAGCAACTTGCAAATGTTTTTTTTTCAAGCACTCACGCTTTTTCTCTTTCGAAGTATATTCCTGTTTTTTCTTTCAATATGACTATCTTTGCAACCCTCTAAAGCAATGTATGAGCAAAAAATTTCCATAAAAAAATCGCGAAACCAATCCAATTTTACACGACTCTCTCTCTAGATATCTCAAATTGTGTATACCTCTTCCATTCTTTACATATGGAAGGATTTGCTCCGTAAAATATTCAAACACGTGTTGTTTCTCCAATTTTCAAAATTCTATAGATATTACAAGTTGAGAAGCCGAGGGGGTAAAGAGCATCTCCAATTTTCCAACCATGACACAAGTAGCGAATGCAACGATCAAGCTTTTTGACATGAAAAAGAGCATGGTTAGCCATGCCATGCAGTGCGCCCAGGAAAGCCTGAACAAAGGGAATAACGAGCAGGAGGTTGCGGCCTTAATCAAAGCGGAGTTTGACAACAAATATGGTCCCACGTGGAATTGTTTTGTGGGACGCAATTTTGCGAGTTATGTTACCCATGAGGAAAACCATTACATCTACTTTTACATAGGCCAGGTTGGTATCCTGTTATTCAAGTCCTCGTAGAAAGAATCCTACACTGAGTCCTATTTTTATTACCATCTCATTCTTCAGGTTATTATGTATTTAGAACGTGTATTATCTCACCGTTAAAAAAATCCGATCCATTGATCATATACCTGGTTGTCAAAAGAATCTGACCACTTGTAATTACTTATTCGAGTCTTTTTTATTTGATGGAAAATTTTCGCGATTTTTCCTGACTCCTTATTTCTTAACGTTTTATCGTTTAGAAAAAATTTCCTTTTCAAATGGCGCTACCTAAACTAATACCCTTATCTTATGATTGGAAGACTCCTCAAAAGGAGCATGCCACATCAGATTTTTTTAAACTCATACAAGATAACACAATTGATTGGTGGCGACGGAATCAGCGTAGAGACTTACCATGGAGGCCTTATACTGCCGATGAAGCTGTATCGTTTAAGTTCTGCGATCCCTACAAAATTTGGGTATCCGAGGTTATGTCGCAGCAGACGCAAATGGGCACTGTAATCAAGTATTTCAACCAATGGATGAGCAAGTTCCCTTCAATAGAGGTTTTGGCTAGTTCTACCGAGGATGAGGTGCGGTGTGTATGGTCCGGGATGGGGTACTATCGTCGGGCAAATTATCTCAGGAAGGGTGCTCAATATCTTGTTAATGAGCACGTGAAAAATAAAGCTCAAGGGGCTGTAACTTTACCGAAGACATCAGCTGAGTTACTAAAAGTACCCGGAATTGGGCCATATACAGCGGCAGCAATTGCATCAATTTGCTTTAGCGAAACATGTATGTCTGTGGATGGTAATGTGTTTCGCGTGCTGTGTCGACTAAGGGGTGAACAACAAATGGATCCCAAGATGCCGAAAAACTTAAAAATGGCTTATTTGTGGGGCCAACAGCTAATGCGAGGTGAGGAAAAGGCTGTGTGCAAATTTCCCGGAGAACTGAATCAAGGTCTGATGGAGTTAGGTGCGTCCATTTGTAGGCCAAATGGCCCTCCTTTGTGTAGTGATTGCCCGCTGCGTCAACAGTGTGTTGCATACTCTGCGTATCAACACAAAGAATTGCCCGCTATTGAGGGTGTTATTCCCCTCCACGGGACGTCTTCCCCTAAGCGCATTGAGGAAGTCTTGACGGTGGTACACGAATTCGCAAGTCCAGACCATGCAGCGAGTCTGTTCATAATGGTGCAACGTCCTCCAAATGGGTTGCTTGGTGGCATGCCAGAGTTTCCCTCCCTCACTCTTAGCAGCAGTACTGGTGGTGAGACTCAACATTTTTATAAGGAGGTTGAGGCTTTGGCATTTCTTTCATGTGAAGTGAAAGAGTGCCCCTCTGAAAGCCCCTCGCTGCGCAAAGCTGGTAAAGTTATACATATTTTTTCTCACATTCGGATGACGATTCGCGTGTATCATGTCAAATGGATAGGAAAGCAACTAAATCAAATTCCCAATTCCATTGGCGATGATGACGTTATCGCTCGCTTGGCTAATGGTCTGGATAAGGCAAAGGGATGCAGCAATTCTCGTGCCTCGATTTTTCTACTACCCATGGACAAACTCGCATCGATTGGTTCCAGTAAGCTTCTCTTAAAGGTTCTACACGCTGCTTGCGCAGCCGAGCGGTGCCAGGAGCCACAGGGTAATGAACTAAAGAAAAGGAGAATAAAAAAGTAATTCATTTGATTACTTTACCCCTTCCTATTTCTTTCACCTTAGACTCTTTTAAACATCGATATTTTTCACCTAACGTTTTTTTCACTTATGGTTTCATCTAGTTGCACAACGATATGCATAGCCAATAAAATGCAAAGGTGTACTTAAATTCATTTCCCTTTCCTCTAACTACCATTTCCTTTAAAATATTAATTTTTAATTATTTTTTTTATGCCTTTTTTCCATATACTTTTTACTTTAATATTCTCAGGTGTCTTCCAGCGTCACCGAAAGGACAGGTAAGGAACAATTTAAGGAGAATCATATTTTTAGTGACGAATTTTATATTAAGAAGTAGCTATTGCACTTTGCCTCTTTTGTTTCCCACACTATTAGTAATGCGGGGTTGGTTCGAGTACGGCTATCAGGGATTTCCATCTGGAGAGCAACGCCGACGCTTCTATCGCCAACGAGACGATCCGTGTGGTAGTGAGGACGAGAGCGATTTCGACAATGAGACGAATGATCGCCCCATTCATTACTACCCACTTCGTGAAAGTGAGGAGAAGTCTTCAAGCCCGCGACATAGTGAAATGGGCTCTAGTAGGGTAAGTGAGGCGGATGGGGAGGTTGAGCAAGCGCATAGCGAGCATTCATTTCCATTTTTTTCACACATTACCGCTTACACGCCGGTTCCAGCCTGGTATGGTTCTAGTTTTATTACCTTTACTTCTTGCGCACAAAATAGTTCCCGCCGCCGGTATGGCCTTTGGCACGGCGGCGCTGCGGTGGCCAACTGTAGTGTTGACTCTCAGTTTCATTTGGCAGAGTTGAAGTTCGTTTCACAGACTTCCGGGTTGTCTGCCGCGCCATCCCAGACGGTAGACTACATCCCTTTCCCAGAGGATGTAACCCTAGTTGAGCTCATTAACTGGCCGCCATTTCATCCAGCCTTTCAAGCTGTAGCGGAAGATACTGAAGTGGAGCGCGAACCGGTGGTGCCGCGGTTTGGCCACTGCGCGGTGTATATGGATCTGCCCTCAAGAATGTTGCGGGCCTTTCTTACGACCGGATGGATCCCGGAAATGGCGACGCCTGGTCATAGACGATCTGGTATACAAAAGGGCTATCTTAACGAACAGGTTGCTAATCCTGAGGAGTTCGAGCTTCATCTTTCCTTTGTAATTGGTGGGACGTCGTTTCTGAGAACGGTGGGGAATGGCAGGGGTACCACTACCGTTCTCAGCAACGAAAGCTACACCGTGATCTCTGAGCCCACCTTGTGCTTGACGCTCATCCGGGAGCCCACCGAAACCCGCCAAGGGACGCAATTCACAACGTGTTGTCCCCTCCGCGGGGCCTTCGACCTCCCCGTTGCACCACGCCTATTCGCGACGCTCACCCCGCTGCCAAGCATGGCACCTGCGGCCGGGGATCCGCTCAAAAGTCGTGCCTTTGCTTACCTCGGCGGCACCGAGAACGGCTGGTTCCCCGTTCCGATTTTTGAACTCACCGTAATTCGGCTGGAGCTGCCCAGCTGGCGGTGGACGGCGGGGGCGTTACCTACCTTTGGCGTTCCCCCTTTGCCGCGTTTCGGGCACAGCGCTACGGCCTATGAGGGCCGACTGCTTGTCTGTGGAGGGGTCACCCATGGCCGGAGCTACCTGCGCGACCTCTTCGTACTAGACACCACCACCCTGGTGTGGCGGGAGGTCTTCGTGCCGTTCAACCGCGGTGTCCCAGCCCGGGCGTTTCACGGGGCCGCCATCACCCCGCTTTACCAGGCTCCTCAACCCCTTGGGAAGGGGATCAGGGCATACGCGGGACCCCACGTCGCGGAGGGGGCCCCTGACTGTCACAGGGCGGGTCGGGCTTTCGGCCACCCCTCCCATTTGCCCACCTCCTGTGACACGGGACGGGCCATTCGGGAGGGACGTCACGCAGGCGTAAGCGAGGATGCGCTTTTGCTCATTGGTGGGGAGAGCGCCGAGGGGGTTCTTGAGCCCTCGGTTTGGGTGATGATTCTCCATGACTACACCTGGCAAAAGATCCGATTTCCCTTTCAGAATGAAGTCTTCAGTTTTCGTGAAGCCGTTTCCGTTCCACTGTGGTGTAATCGTGGTTCGGGTTCATCACCCAGGGCGACAACGGTAGCAGAAACGATGTCGGGCACCTTTCTCAGCCCCCAGAGGTTACGCCAGACCGTTCTAATGCTGCACGAGAGAAATTTACAAGACAAGGCGCGTGGTCTTTCTTCGAAGGACCCAGCATCAAGAGATTCAGGAATTCGAGATGACCATCCTTTGCTATTCTCGACCTGCCACGGTTCACTTTTTCAGCTGCTTTCCATTCCTACAGAGAGCTGTGGGGTGACGATCTTTGGGGGTACGCAAAGTCCACCTATTTTGTTTGCTACAAGCATCGTCGCTCCTACTGGGAGCCTCAAGGAGAGTACAGCTTTTTGGCTGTTCTGTAACAATACCGATAATATGTATGCTAAAAGGATTTTTAATCGATCACCATATCTCGTCCAAAATATGTTTGCTGGAACACAGTTTCTTAATCTTTTGCACTCTCCTGAAAAGGATAATGAGCGGGGTCATTTCCGCCGCGACTCATCGTTAGATGCTATTCCTTCTTCTGGTTTTCTGCAGCAAGCCACTCGGTTAGCTAATGAAAGTCTTTTAGAGGATACACTATCCGTATGGATTCGGGCAGCACGAAAGCGTTTGAGGGAGGGTAGTTTTTTATCTACATAACCCTTTTGCATGCGATTTAACATTCTTTGGGATGCTTTTCAGTATTTGAGGGAGAACAAATACATCTTCCTTTGTGGGATACTAACCATTCTTGTGATTTAAAATTTTGGGATTTCGATCTTGACTTCCTAAAGGTCTATCGCTTTTAGATTCATCATTTTTAGACTAAAGAAGACAATCAAAGAGAAAGCATACACATAAAATAAAAATGTTATCGTTGCTTGATAGGAAATTTAAGTACATCCGAGCCCTATTGTATGACTTTTTTATCCTTAATACAACCTCTCCATGGTATCGCGAGGTGCTACTCGAGTGCCCCACTGGCACCAGTATGCTGGACGTAGGTATAGGTACTGCGGCAAGTCTCATTGACAATCGCCATATTCTTATCAGCAAGCAAATGAATGTCGTAGGTGTGGATTACGACTTGGATTACGTTAGTCGGGCTCAGGTAAACATCGCGAGAAGCGACAACATGCAGTATTTGGTGCGCGTCGTGCATGCTAGTGTTCATGATTTCAACAAGGACTTGAGTGAAAAATTTGATGTAATCTATTTTTCGGGAAGCTTTATGGCAATACGAAACCAAGCCGAAGCCCTACGGCACTGTACGCGTATGCTGCGCATCCCAATCCCAAAAGATCGAGATACATGCAACATATTTTTTACCCAAACTTTTGAGAGGCGAACGCTAGTAGGTAATTATATAACCCCCTACATCAAACGGTTTCTCAGTTTTATGACCACAATTGATTTCGGGATTGTAACCTACGAGGATGAATTTAGGGAGGTTTTAGAGCGTGCTGATGTTGAGATTGTCAGGATCAAGGTTCTGAAAAGTACATATTTCCGATCCCAGGTTATAGTGATGGCTCGTCCAAAGCTGCGTGGTGTTGACACATAAGTGTCTCATACTGTTTCTTTTTCAGTGCAGTATTTTTTTTCATGTGCTATATGGCAATTACATGAATAAAGATATTTCGAATACTTGAATAAATTGAACCTTGAAGCATCAAATATATAAAACTTCCTCCGTTTTTTAACATTATGTTGCCGCACTCATTGCGTCTTTGTTTCTTTAAGCATCATTTTTATCTTCATTTCTTTTGCTTTTCAAAGTATTTTGTTTTGGTTGTTATAGCTATCAGATTTTTCAAAATTTCTCTACCCTAGCCTTTTTCAACAAGAGCTGTCTATCCCATCGAACAGAAAAATAGAACAATGTCTATTCCAACTACTCTGAGCGTCGGAAATGCTTCCTGGACGCAAGGTGAAGAAAATGAAAGCGCATTGGAAATTCGGATACCGGGCATTATTCCCGCTAATGTCCGCCCGCGCGACCTTTCTATAAAGATTAAGGATTCAGCGGTTCTTTGCATCAGCCATACTGACAAACGTCTGCTTCAGTGGCGCCTTCATGCCCCTGTTAGCAACGAGGTAGAGTGGCGTGTGGATAACTCTGTAGTGGTGATAGACCTTGAGAAAAAGATCCCGACGGTGTGGAGTTGCCTTCTGGACCTTCCCATGTCAGCCGACGACCCACTCTTAACCTCCTTAAATGAGATCAACAGGATGTTCACTCAGTACTTTCCGCCGTTGCCACCTGTTAGCGACACCAAGAGCAATGCTTTGGATGCTAAAGAGGAGGTATCAGAAAAGGCGAAGGACTTAGAGGAAAAGAAGGTGGATGACGACGATCTCGACCAACTTCTTCGGGAAGCCGCTGATGAGATTGTTGCCGATAAAAATGATGAGAGGGCCACTTACAATGCATTTGTGGAGGCTGAACTCAAAAACTATAAGCGTGAAGAGGAGGAAGTGAAGCAGAAAAAGGCCGAGTTGGAGGCACAAGTCAACAATCTTGACGATCCTGCATCCGCTCAGCTAGCTAAAGACCAAATTAAAATCCTGGAAAAGATTCTTTCCTTGCACAACGAATGCCGTGAGCTGCGTTCCAGGCCCGCTTCTTTGGAGAATTTCTTACAATGCACAAAACTGGACTTACAGAAAGCGCGTGTTAATATTGGTGAGGTCGGTGAGTCAGAAACTGAGGAATACAAAAACGATGAGGAGAAGAGTCTGAGCGGCACGGAGCTGATGAAGTACGGCCTCAAATTTTTAGAGGACAAAGATGTCAAGAGCTGCTTACACTACCTTCGTCTAGCAGCCATTCACCACCAGCACGAGCAAAGCATCATGTTGTTGCTCAACATCTACAGTCAGCTTGAATCACCCCGAGGGGCCTCTTTGTTGTTAAGCCGTGCCCTGGATGACAAGAATCCGAGCGCGGTAGCAAATCAAAAGTTGGGTGAACTCTACGACAAAGGCGAACGACACTTTCTACCTCTTTTTCCTGCTGCGCTCTACTTCTTCCAGCGCGCAGCTAAGCTTGGTAGCGTAAGCGCCATGCTCAGCCTTGCCCAGCTTTGGTTGCGCGGGTGCACCGAATCAACCCTGGCCTCTGAAGCGGAGATTAGTCGTCAGAAAGACCTTAGCAAGTACCATGCGTGGTTGGAAAAGGCTATTGATCGTGGTTGTGGGTCGGCTTATTTTGTGAAGGGATGCATGCACATTAAGGGCGAACACGGCGTTGAGAAATCGTACGAGAAGGCAAAGTTCTATCTCGATGCTGCAAGCAGCTCCCAACCCGAGCTGAGCAAACGCGCGCATCAGATCCCCATGATGCTGGAGCAGCTAAGAAAGGAGGAATCCAATGAGTCCGCAGAGAAGGCACCAAAGACGAACCCGGGCCACGTTTCCAAGATCATCAAGGATGACGACGCCTTGCAGGTGACGCCCTCTGTAGCGCGGCTGAATATGCTGAGCAAATCAGCGCCCTCCGAGTCTGCTGTCGGACCGATTCGTCGCACTAAGAAATCGTTTGGGGGCTCTGCCAATCGAAAGGTTTTTTGGGAGAAAACCTGCGTGGTGGGTGCAGCTGTGTATGGTATTTATTCGCTAGCCTTTCCACTTCGTGTTATGATATTGCCCATCGTTTACTCAATTCTTGGTTCCATTGTGGATGCCATTCCGTGGTTGGCGAACCAAGACGCGGACGTTTCCATGTTCTGAGCTGCAGTAGGGCAGAAAAGGGTGTGAAGACAACCATAAATGTGTGTGTAATAATACTAGTGACCACTCCTCCACAATATGCGCTAATTATCAGATTGAAATATACATTTGTATATGAATAAGATTAATATATATTGTTCTGTTAAAAGTGTGCGCTGAATCACATATTTTTGTGTCATACGCAATGAATAGGTGTAAATAAGTAGTAATCAGAACGTGTTTTACAGGTTAGAATGGGAAGCCTTGAGGTTATAAAAAACGCCACAAAGTACTAACTCATTATCGACACAAAAAAAATTATATTTCCCAATTTAACATTAGCAATTGAAAAGGATAAGTAATTTTTTTTACTAATTCATCACTTGCTCGCAGAGCTTAGTAGCCTTCTCAGAGCTGTTTTTATTACAATGTCTTCAAAGTAATATTGTTGGTGGATTTCGTATTCCTGATTTTTTACCTTTTCTAAGGTCTTGTTTTACGCATTCCTATTTTGTCATCTTGCTGACTAGTTATCCTTATATCTATGTGGCTACATCATGAGGCGTGTCTGTGCTAATCATGGGTGCCAGCTCTTAGTTGCAAGTTATCTCCCTTTCACACTTCACAGCCCAATTGGGCGCTACCAAAGTACTCAGGGAAACTCTCCGGCGAAGATGGAGGCTGGTACACTGGGTGAGGGGTCGACAGCTCCTCCTGGAGTTGATCAGGAGAATCCTTCTGCGCATCAGGCATCTGAGGCGCCAAAAACACGGATTCGATCGAGTGCAGTGAAGTCGGTGATGGAGAGGGCCGCATCTGCGAGACGGGATATTTTCGATTTGTGGAGGACCACCAGTGAACAGGAGCTTAGTTTAACAAACTGTCCGACCACAACAGACGAAAAACAAGCTGCAGGTGATCAGGCGCGCATCACAGGTGTTGCTCAAATTTTAGATGAATATCGTATCAGTGTGACCACGCAAAGAGACGAGGATATCTGCCGTGGTTTGGGTGACGCGCTGGATCGGCTTCTTTTGTTGTGCGTTCCGTTTTCTAGCACCGTTGGAACCGAGCAGCTGGAGCAAATTCTCCATGTTACTGGACGTCAGGGCCGGAAGCTATCCGTCCGCACGATTCAACACCTCTTTTCTCGAGCCAACAACTACGCGGAAGCCTTAGCGATCTTTTACTCGCTACGTCGTTGCCACTTTGCCATGAACATGGAGACATACCATGCTATGATGTACTCGCTGCAGCGTCTTGAGGAGGAGGGGTGGGCGATGCGTTTTCATGATGATTACATCAAGAGTGGTGGGGAGAGCCTTTCCGAACAGGCCTTGGATTTTGTGTTGAGTGGCATAAACAATCAACTTCTACCCGAAAATAAACCATGGCTGGGGCGCATTATGTTTTCAGAGGTTAACAACGCTGCTACAGAACGCCAAGCGCGTGAGTCGTTTGATGAATTGGGAAAGCTTTGGCTAAATCGATATAAGGAGGGGTAGCAAGACACGAATATGGGATTGCAATGAGAACGACCCTTGGGTTGTTTCTCAAATATTGTAGGTAATGGGCGAGTAGTGGGAAAGTGTTGGTGGGTCAGAAAAACTTGACCAATGATTTACGGTTTATATATACATATATTAGATGAGCGATCAAGAAGAATTTAGTGAACTCCAACAAAAATGCTTGCATATTTTTCTATTCATCTTTTTTTTTGCTTACTAGTTTTCGTTTTCGATAAGGAAAGTGCTCGGATCTAGCAGTGCATTCACCTAAGCTTCAAACGTTTGTTAGCGCATTTATTTCTAAATACCCTAACAAAAAACTTTTGGATAACCTAAGACAACCGCAACAACTGCGCTTTGTCCTTTTGTACTCCTTGGAGCCTAAAGTCTAGCCAATGCGTGACAGACGTTTGCTTGCACGTCGAAGCGCGGTGGATGGCAACCCCGTTTCTTCTGTTGAGATGCCGGCTCCCACGGATGATGAAAAAAAGGAGCGATACAAACATATCATGCGGGAACATCGCCGTAAAGGTATCATACACTACTTCTTCTTTATTGCCGTCACGTTAGGCATCCCGCTAATGTTAGTATATTACTTCACTCCGTTCTTTGTGTTTCAGCATCTTCGATGCCGTGCTGGGGACAAGTTTCTTCGGTCCGATCGTACCGTGGAAACCATCGAAAATGAGTACACCAGTTACTTTAGAGATCCGCCGTTGTATCCTTCCGATGCCTACAATCTCTCGATGTTTTGGGGTACGTACGAGCCGAGCCGTATTTTTGCTATGAAAAGCCGCTCAGCCCAGCCCGTTATCGTGGGGATCGCGTGGTACGACACGCCGGGAACGTATAGCTTGCGGCACGTTATGCCCTTCACGCACAACAAAGTTAGAGCCCCGCGCACCACGTACAAGGTTGGCGCGGATCCAGAGGTGATGAAAATTCGTTGGATTGCTCACGATGGGATTCATTATGGCAAGCAAATTGTAGTGGATGCGGCCAACAAGCTGCAGATGGAAGTGGAATTTTTAAAAAGTCCCTCTGGGAATGCATGGCATGTTCGTGTGCATGCCCACGTGGAAAGCCCGATTGAGTTTGTGCTGTATTTAGCTAACGCAGACGTGAGCGAAGCGGTGAGGATCGAAGCCCCGAGTGTGCATAACGACGGCGACTGGAGCCCCGTTCTCAAAAGCAAGCTTCTTAACCATCGTCTTGAAAAGGAGTCTTTCAAATTGCGTGTTTACGATGATCACAGCCCATTTTACGACACGGCCCCATGGCGTATCTACGGCCTTCAGGCGGACCTCGACGACAGTTTTGCCCTCACGACGACGTATACTGTCGGTGGAACGCCGGATGAGCGTGCGATGACGGCCGGTAGAGGCATCGCGTTTGGGCATCAAGCTCGCAAGCTGCAAGAGCAAAGGATTGATCTTCGAAACCTGCCCAGTGCGGCTTTCACCTATATCGAAACCGTCGACCCGCAGAGCTTTCGATCGCCTGGTAATCATTTGGAGGCGGATCAGGCAACCCATAACATGGTCGTACTGAAAAAATTCTACAATTCGGACTTCCGGCTGGAGCTTTCGCTGAGCCCCGCTCCTTCCGAGTCGGCGCCTGAAACGCATGGAGCCGCTGCCGAAGGGGAGGCTGCCCAATCCTCACGGCCGCAGTCGCCTCCGACCTACGAGAGGTTGTCTACCTGTCAGCTCTCCAATATCTTCCGTCGACGGGAAAAGGCGATTGCGCGACATATGCGGAATGTTTGCCGGTATTGGGTGAACGGATTCCGTGTGAAAGGGGATTTGTATCAGCACATCCTCGCGCAGACCCTTGGGGAGACGTTCGGATCCATTTCCTTCACTGCCGGGCGCTATCTCGAGCTCGATGAGCGCGTGGACGAGGCGCAGGATCAGCTCGGCGTTGCCCAGACGCTGTGGTCGGAGCAGCAGCTCAAACCCTCCCATCATCCCGCGAGCGCGATGGCGGTGGTGGGCTCACGCACCGATGAGGCCTTTGGGCAGCACGCCCTCACCGGACTCCCGCTTTTATTCCTCCTGCGTTGGAATAAAGAGGTGGCGAAGGACGTCCTCGCCTCGTGGCTGATCGGGGCGCAAAACCCCCGGACGGGGTTCCTCCCTAACCGTGCGGGCTTCACCGCCGTCGCCCGCTCTCTGATGCCGACGGAGTTGCGTTACGAACACCTCACCTTCGGCAGCCCGCCGACCCTGCTGTTGGGGTTACAGGAGCTGCTGAATGAGATGGCGCGCAAGGCCGCCCGGCTGCGTCGGGCGAACCCGCGGAAACGCCGCAACACCGAGGCCTACTTCAGCGAGGAGGTCGAGGCCGATCGGCGGTTTCTCCAGGCCCTTCTTCCGGCGCTTCAGAGGTGGCGGGGGTGGTGGCATCGGACGCAATGCGGGGGCGCCACCCGCGAGCTCGCCGAGGGCTGTGCGAGCCGTCGTCCGCTCGAGGAATGGCCCCGAGGGGTAACGGGGGATCCGGCGGACCTCCTCCTTTATCGCTGGCGCTCCCGCGACGGTTTCACCCTCCCCGCGAGCGGGATGGGGGACTACCCTCGGCCCTTTTGCTCTGGGGCACACATTCTGGAGGCGCATGTGGATCTCTTCGCATGGGTGGCCCTCCTTAGCGAGCTCATCTCACGGATTGAGGTGCGGCATCTGGGGCTGCCCGCGAGCGTCACGGTCGACTGGGAGGCGCACCTCGCCGCGGCGCACTGGGATGCCGCCCGTGGGCGGTACGCGGATCGCACGGGGTGTGGGGATCACGACTTCTCCCCTTATGTGGGCTATGTCAATCTCTTCCCAGTGCTGCTCGGGGTGGTGCGGCAGAATCGGGAGAAGATCCGCGCCACCTTTCAACTCGCGCGCGAGGCGCTACAGACGAAATTTGGCCTCATGTCGGTCTCTTTTGATTCGGTGCGGCGATCTAGGGAGGCGGGGCTGCCGCACCGAAACGTGTGGATGGGGTATGTCTGGCCCTCGGTGAACCTCATGTTCCTCTACGCGCTTAAATCGACCTACCTGGATATTCTCGCTGGTAACGATTTTGGCAAGGAGATGCAAAACTTTTATTCGGAGCTGCGGTTAAACATGGCGGAGACGATACGGAATGGGAACCGTTGGTGGGAATTTTATAACCCTGTTGACGGGCGTGGTGAGGGCAGTAAGACCTACATCGGCACTCAGGCTCTTCTTTTAGGGATTCTCAATGATTTTTCATCCAAATGAATCCACTTTTCCATTGGTTGTGTAATTGCAAATTTGACTATATGACACAAATACTTATAAATAGATCCACTCGGACCTCCTTTGTCCATGATATTTGAGACCTTTTCATAAATGAACCATCTAATGTCCGAAATGTCAGGGTTATACGGCTGACACAAAAGCGGTCTTCAAGCTGCTTATTTTTTACACATGCTAGTCCAGAGAGGTAAGGAATGACTAAAATTATAGAATTATAAGTATCCTATTTCCTCCAATATGGTTTCCTCTTATTTCTTTCCTTCTTCTTATTACTATAAATTTAATCAGCTGAGCTTTACATAAGAATCAATCAATATGGGTCATCTCGAACAATGGCGCTCTCGCCAGAAGATTGGCATGGGCAAAGGCTCCCGGCACTGCGTTATCTGCTCCAATCAGAAGGCCATCATTCGCAAGTATGAGCTGAACATCTGCCGTCAGTGCTTCCGTGAGAATGCCAACCACATTGGCTTCACCAAGCTTCGCTAAAGTGTTGATGTGATGGGATTTCTCCATTTGAAAGCTCACATTCGATGTTTTCTTTTACTTTAATACAATTTTAAATCAAACATCAAAAAGGTTTTATTCTTCCTAAAGAATATTTGCAACTGCTGCAATGAGGTTGCTAATTAAGAAGGACACATTCACTGCCTCCTTGACTTTCTTTTTCTATTCTGCAATCTAGGATTGTATTCACACAAAAGCACAACAATACCAGAAATCGTATTTGTACTCATCAAGTAAGCATAAATAATTCTACATCTTTTTCTTTTTCCCCCTCATATTGGCTTTCGGGGAGTTTACAAATTTAGGGTATGCTTGAGGACGATGTGAGTTTTTCTTGCAGCCAGAGTTTGTAGCCTATGCTACAAGTAGAATGATGGGAACCAAAAGAATCGTACATAAAGTGTTCCTTTCAATTGCAACGATTTCTTTATATGTTTTTTTCCATGCACATGAAGACCGCTTGATCAAGCTACTGGAATCGCACGCGACAAGACGTCAAAAACAGCTCGGAGTAGGAAACCAATCGAAGGTGAAAGAAATGTGGAGGGTTTATTGGAAGATGTTTTCTTTTCCCAACTCCTTGAGTATCTCACTAGGTGAGGTTCCGGATATTTTCGATGATAGGTAACTTAATATTGAATACTAAAGCGAACTAAACCAATCCATGAAATTATTGCAAGAATTTTTGAAGGTTAAGTCCTCCAAAAAGTAATAAATAGGGACGGATGAAGCTGATGTAGGACCTTCACCTAAAGGGATTGGATAAGCAAGTAATATATAGGTGTCCTTTTGAGGGAAGATCATGCATGAGGCGCATGGGTGCAACGAAGTGTTGGCTGGAAAGCAAGCAATTCGAGACTGCTAAAGTCTGCATGATCGTTTGCCACTAATATCACCGCACAGAAGGTGAGGTCATTTGGCGTGTCGTTGAAAGAAAGCAGCATAATCTGATCGAATAGCGCCATGAGGAGGAGAAAGAGAGTTTTCAACTGTGCGTGAGTGTGGAGTGTGGGAAAGGGTACTTCAAAGCGTTTTTTTTCAAGTTTTTCTTCGCCCCACTCTGAAAACGAATGCTAGGATATGTGGCGTTCTACTGCCCTTCTATACCAATGGAAAGATGAAGCCACACGATTTGTGATCTCTCTATTTTCCATCGCTATTTCGTGTTGCTGATGTAGTTGCAACTTTAACCTCATAAGGATATTCAATCATCTTATTTTTTCTTACTATCATTATTCTTTCGTTGTTAAACTTCGAAAATTACTTTAATTGTATTATACGCGCTGTATTTCTCGCCAGTATTTTTCTTACATTCATATCCGGTTTATTTGCCTGCTCTTTTTTCGTTTGAAAAGCCTATTTGAGGGGATAAAATTACTATTTTTTTAGTTTCTCTATTTTTCCCAAATATTCCTTTCATCTCAGGTGATTGCAACTTAATATACTTAGCATCGACATACAAATGTCTTTTATAAAGAGTGCGATAATAAATTCATCTAATTCCTATGTTGAAGGTAGACTAAGTATGATAATGTGTTTGCCCAACTATTCGTCGTATTTTCTCTTTCTTATATATTTAGTTAACAGGGGTAGGTTTATCAGGAAAATATCTCAATATCATCGTTGCTCAAAAAAAAAAGACCGATTTGTAATTGAAAATTAGATATAATACGATGCATTCTAATGCCGATGTTTTTCGACATTTGATTTTCGTTCATGGTACGCTCATGCGTGGCGAAAACGACTACATCTACTGGCTTGCTAACCCTGCTGAGGCCCTATTCATCAGTCCAGCCAAGACAAGCAGACGATATCCACTATTTGTGAACCTCTTACCCGACTTCCCTGACTGTTCGCCATGTATGCTAAACCTACCAGAGGCCACTTCTTCCTGCCAGCATATCGAAGGGGAGTTGTTCCTCATAACGGAAAAAATGTTAGCTTGGTTGAATGTGCTGGAAGGTGTCAGTGAAGGTGTACACGAGTCGGCGCCCATTCACGTGATACCGCAAGCGTCCACGCCTAAACTGCCAATTGAGTACCAGCGTTTGCTCGAGCCCTTTGATGTCAATCAGTCTTCGGAAGACTCACAGCTGACAGGCCCGTTGCTCAGCGCTACGGGTTATTTTAGATCGAAAAACTTCCCGGCAGACTGGCAAAGTGCGCAGCCAAAGAGTTCAACGACCCTGTTGTCGGGCTTCTCTGCAGGTTTGATAATAGATACCTACAGGTCGCGGTTTTCCGGGGTCCCAGCGCACTTGTCTTCTGGGGAGTTCGCCCAGAAACTCCAGCTCGCGTTGAATGCCCTTCCAAAAGGGTTGCAGCCTCCCTCGACGGCTGTTGGTGAGACGGCCTACGGCGCCCCTTTGTTTTCTGCTCCTATCGTTCTCTTTATTATTGACGGTATCGGCGACAACACGTACAATGAGCTTGGCAACCGCACCCCGCTGGAGGTAGTGTCTGGGATGCCTCCTCGCGTTGTTTCCCAAAAGCCGACACCTGGTGTTCCAGCTGGTGCGATGCCTCGTATCCTAGGTATTGAAGACGCCTCTTTAGCGGAAAAAGATAACAAATTTGTGCTTCCTGGCATTAATTGTGTTACGCGCTCCGGTGCGAGCGGTCTTATGGATCCGTACATGGCCGGAATGAGCTGTGGTAGCGACACAGCACACCTCAGCATGTTCGGATACCCACCCCACACGTACTACCGAGGCCGCGGGGGGTATGAAGCGTTGGGTGCCGGGCTACATCTTGATGACGAAGACATCGCCTTCAAGTGCAACTTTGCCACCTTTGCCGACCCCAGTGAGGAAGGTTTCGGCGATGAAGACGCGGCGTTGGAGAGGGCGGTGGCCTCCCAGTCCACTCACGGGGCGCACTACGTCACGCACCGTCGTTGTGATCGCGACTTCACGCGCGAGGGCCCGATCCTGTGCGCCGCGCTCCACGGTACCACCGTCACCGCGGACCTCGAAGGGAAGCCCTTTGACTACCCCCATGAGATCCGCTTCCAGTACGCCGGGGGGCACCGCTGTGTGGTGGCGCTGACCGGGGCGCGACGGGTTCTCCGGCCTGGCGA